GTCCCCTCTTTCTGTGTCCTCACGTCAGTGTTCTTGCCCTCATTTGTGCCAGTGTTTTCACAGCCATAAAACACGTGGAATTGTGAGGGAGACCGATTCCGACCGAAATGGGTGTTTTAAAAAATTGTGGTGGAGCAGCGTGTAGTTCGCCGTTAATGCATCAGATCACAGGACCTGATAGCTGCTGACGTTTCAGATTAGCGGAGCGATGTTTCAGGACGCCTGTAAATATAACGTGCTGTGAAAACAAGCGGTTTCTGCCGGTGACCGTCAGGGGCACTGCCGACGGCACCGTGGCTTTTTGTCTCCGTTTATAACGGAAAGAAACCCTGTGTTTCACTTACGGGTTAGTGAAGATGATAAAGAGATTTCTTTCCCTGCCACGTTCCCAGGCCCCGATTCTGGCCCCAGAGAGCTTGTGGCCCCCCAGTGAGGCCTCGTGTGGGCGCTGTGACACCGCAGCCCAGGGCGGGGACCTGGCCCTGCCGTACTGCCTTCTCCTCTTGCCTGACCCTGCCCTGCCCTGCCCTCGCCCCTCCGCACCTCGGCTTGGGGCCACACTTCCCTGCGTGCACCTGTCGTCGTGTCTCGGCCGCAGGGGTGGGAGTGTGGTGGTTGCCGCTTTTTCAGTACCGCGTCCTTTTGGCCTGAGGGAGAGGACCCTCATTTTGCAGAAGTCAGTGGGAGGGAGCCCAGTGTCTGTGGGGCCAAACGGGAGGCAGGCTGAGGGTGAGGGCTGACGTTCGGGATGTCTTTGGACCCCGGAGCGGGTGCGCTCCAGGCACGGAGCCCATTAGCCTGCCTTGCGTCCTGGGTCTGCAGGACGGAAGGGCCTGGGCGCTGGCTCACCGGCCTCTTCCTCTCTGTCCCCTGACCCAGGGCAAGCTGGCCTCATTCTTCTTGTCTCGCGTGGATGCTTTGAGCCCTCAGCTCCAGCAGGTAAAGGGAAAGGAGGGGGGGGTGGAGACTCTGGGGGCCTGAGCTGGAGCTTTCTTCTCTCTTCCTTGGCTTTTCTTGCTGTCACTGCCATTGGACTGTGACGTCACCTCCCCACCTCATCTGTGTTCCGCCCCACCGTCCCTTCCTGTTCCCCTCCGAGCTCTCTTTCTCGGCCCATTGGGGCCGGGGGTCGGGGGTGGCCCTGGCGCTGGGCCGCATTCC